CTTAACCAACTGAGCCACTCGGCCAGCCCTGTAGATTCAACTTTATCTCATTCCCTGGCGATTCTCCATTTTACCAGAGAATTCAGGGTTTAGCCAGCCAGCCCCAGATATGGCACAAATATAACCCAAGGGTCAGTCAGCCCAAAGAGATATTTTCCTAGTTGCTAAGAAAGCAAAATGACACCATGCCTTACTGCCATTATCACGGCTAACACATCACAGAGTGGCAGGAGGGACTTCACACCTGGGTCCCTCTGTCTAGCACTAATCCTTAAAATAGATATAACCTTAAGCCTGTTCCTGGCCCCCTCACAAACAACCTTAGCCCGACCTTTTTGCAAAACCTTGCAGATATAATTATATGAATATTTAAAACTGATTCTATTCTTGGTAACTCTGTGGGTTTTTAATAAAATTCCCATTGCATTTTTTTCATTTGATGAGCCAGCCTTTTGAGGTCAGGACTCCTTTACAAAACTTCCCAAGTAAAACTTCTTTCTTAATGCTCTTGTCTCTACATTTTCCTTTTGCATCTCCCAACACACAGGGGTTAGTCAGGCCTGACTGACTGGCTGTCTGCACGGAAGGGCAGAAGTGTGAAGCAAGCACAGAAAAGCAGAGTTCCCCCTGCAATGCAAGAAGTTAGGAAGCAGGAGCAAGGTGGCAAAGGCTGACTCTGCAAGTCCAGGAACCACCTGATGGGCTGAACTGCAGGGAGGCGGCAGGATGGAGCCCCTGCAAAGCCCTGGAGTGGTTTGTGTGCGCTGGAAAGGAGATGCATTTTAGAATGTGTGAAAGCTCCGTGTGGCTGGTGTTGGGCCTGGATGCACCCTTCGTCACCTCTCAAAGAGCTTGTCAACCAGTCAGGAGGAAGTCAGGGCCGCCAGGCAAATTCTTGTGAGGCTCGTGCTGAGCCCCAAGCAGACAGTGCTGGCCAGGTGGCCACGTGCCTGGATCAGGAAGATGCCTGGAGAATTCCAGAGCTGATTCCACAGAGGATGCTGCAAGATCCTGCAAGATCCTGGGACTCATGTGACAATAAAACCTGGAAATACTAGGGGGGAAAAAAACAATGAAAACATAACTCAAATGGCAATAACTTTATGTGTCGCACGTAAAAATGGCTATGATACCATGTGACCCAACGTTATTTGATCTTGCATCTGTGTCCCACCTAAAACTGCCTGGTGTCCACTAGCCATGTGTGTCATACCTTGAGGAGCCGCACTGTGATGGTGAGGAGGTGAGAGGTCTGGAACTGAGAGGCCTCTCTTGGCCCTGCCCACCACACCCAGCCCTGGAGTTTTGGCATCAACCCAGGTCCCCTCTGCCCCAGGGCTCTGTCATTCACCACTGTCCCTGCCTCCTCTTCCTTCAGTCTTGTGTCTGATTTCCCTTCCAGGGCTTGGGCGAGGGGCTGTCACGTGTCTCTGCAAATGGGATCCCCCCACTCCTGATAGAGGAAGCCAAGTCTGGGACTCACTGGCCCTGGGACCTGCAGCTCCTTTGGCCAATAATCCCTTCCCTCCCTTAGCAGAGCCAGCTCTTCCCAGGCAGGCCAGCTGGGCCTAGACACTTGTTAGAGGTCCAGTGGCCAGGAAGAGAGGCAGAGCACATCTTAAGGAGGGCAAGTATTGTCCTGAAAGACATCTGCCTCAGTGAGACTTCTGCATGGTCTTCGGAAAAAGGGTGGGGGGGAGTGCAGGGGGGTGGCACTGCTGATATTTTTAGCAAAGGAAATCGGGCCACTTCTGAGGGCTCAGAGGGTTGGGGGAATGTGGGGGCTCAGTGTTCTCAAGCACATTGCTTAGATACCCCCGATCCTGGCCGCTGCCCTTGCCTCAGGCCCTGTGCCCGGTCTGCGGGAGTTGGCCTGCAGTGGAAAGAAGCGAGAGCCTCTTTATTTATTTATTTATTTTAGCTGAGCCATCCTGCTACCTGTTGGCAGCTCAGCGGCTGCTCAGCTCGGGCTGGACTCGAACCGCTGTTGCTCAGAGCTCAAA